CCATGGAGTACCATAGGGCTCCATTCTATCCCCTTTGCTATTTAACATCTATATGAAACCGCTGGGAGAGGTCATCAGGAGGTGTGGCCTGCGGAATCATCAATACACTGATGATACCCAGCTCTACGTCTCGTTTTCCACTAATCCGGGTGAGGCAGTGGCTGTGCTGAACCGGTGCTTGGCCGAGGTAATGGAATGGATGAGGGCCAATAAACTGAAACTCAATCCAGACAAGATGGAGGTCCTGTTGGTTGGAGGATCGGGCTTTGGAGAGGGTGGATTTGACCTGGTCCTGAATGGTGCAACACTCCCTCTTAGGGACAAGGTCCGCAGCTTAGGAGTACTCCTCGACCTGGAGGTTTCTTTGGAAGCTCAGGTGACAGCGGTGGCGAGGAGCGCCTTCCTTCAGCTTCAGTTGATTAATCAGATGCGCCCCTACCTGGAGTACGACTGCCTGGCGATGGTGACACACGCGCCGGTGACTTCCTGCCTAGACTTCTGTAACACGCTTTACGTGGGGCTTCCCCTGAAGACGGTCCGAACACTTCAATTGATGCAAAATAGAGCTGCCAGGTTGCTGATGGGGACGGGGCGTTATGCTCACATGACTCCAGTCCTCCGTCAGCTTCACTGGCTTCCCATTGAAGCCAGGGCCCAATTCAAGGTGTTGATTATGACCTATAAAGCCCTAAACGGCTTGGGTCCTGGCTACCTGAACGAGCACTTACGTCCGTATATGCCCGACTGCCCCTTCAGATCTGCGGGAGAGTCCCTTCTCCGGGAACCCTCCATGAAAGAAATTAGGAGAGTAAGTACTCGGAGGAGGGCTTTCTCTGCGGTGGCGCCCAACCTTTGGAATTCACTCCCCAAAGAGGTCCGCCTGGCACCGTCATTACTGGTTTTTCGGCGCCAGGTAAAGACCTTTTTATTTAAACATCATTTTAATTGTTAAAATATATGATCTGTCCAGGGCAACTTCTTCCTTCTCTTTTCTCCTCCTATATTCTTTATTTACTTATTTTATACTGCTAATTTTAATTTTATATTATTATGTTTGTATCTCAGTGTATTTTTTTGTATTTTTGTATTTAATGGTAATTTATTATGTTCTACTGTATTTCAATGTATTTTATTGTGTTGTAAGCCGCCTCGAGGCTTCGGCAAGGGGCGGCATTTTAATGTAATAATAATAATAATAACAATAATAATAATAATAATAATAATAATAAACTGTATAGGAGATTTCCAACTGGACAATGAAAATGAAATGCAACTGATAATGAAGAAAATGGAGGAAAGAATTGGGCACTTTGAAAAAGGGAAAGGATGTACTGGAAAAGGAATGTCTCCTCTTAGTGGCCTATATTCTGACACAGTGGAAAATTGGGGTTTCCTATTACAAAAATGTGCTGTGGCACATCTTGATCTTCCCTTCTTTCCTGTATAAAGTTTAAATCTTCCATTGAGCAGTTTGGAACAAACTGCAGATTCATGATACAGCAAGCATATAAGTTTGTTCTAACTGTGCTTGAACAACCTATAGTTTCCTGTACAGTGGTACCTCTGCTCACGAACCAAATTGGGTCACAAACAAAAAACTTCATGAAAATTTTGACTTGGGTGGTGAACTCCACATTGGGTGGTGACCAAGATCGCAGCCATCCCCCCCCCACCCCGCCCGAGTGAGATGGCCATGATCACAGTCGCATTCATGCAGGGAAGATGTGCATGATCGCGGCTGTGCTGTGCTGCGCCCATTTTTCCTGCAGTAGCACACCCGTGATCGTGCTGGTTGGTGGGGGAGAGATGGCCGAGACTGTGCCCATCTTTCCTACAGGAGCATGCCCGTGCCAGGATTTCTTTGAAAAGCACCACCCCAACATAACTGTAACGAACAGAGTGTTGAATCTGATGAACAATAACGTGGTCTCTCATTTCCGGAGGGCTATGTAGCGCAGGAAAAAACAAGCGACTATAGACAGATTTTTCACCAAAATTGACACTGCAGCTAAGAGACAAAGAAGAGAGGAAACCCCTGAAAGAGATCTCCCCAATGTCCTTATGGAGGGGGACCCTCCCTCAAAACAATAACCTCCCCCACCAGTTTAGTGTTCTCCACTGTATTGTACAGTACTTTGTCACTTTGTTTCAAATTTTTCTGATAAAAAAAATAGTTGCAGAACGGATTAACCTTATTTACACTGAACCTAATGGGGAAATTTGACTTGGCTCATGACCAAAAATTGGCTCACAACCACATTTAGAGGGGCCAGAACGGATCAACCTTATTTACATTGAATCTTATGGGGAACTTTGACTTGGGTTACAAGCAGAGTTGTAGAACGGATTAAGTTCGTGAGCCAAGGTACCACTGTACTTGGATGTATGTGGGAACTACAGTTTGTTCCAACTCACATATGCAAGATCTAAACTTCTTCCTCTCACCAGCATTTGTCCGCAGACAGTTTCTGTGGTCATGTGGCCAGCGTGACTAAACACCGAGGTGCATAGAACGCTGTTACCTTCCCACCAAAGTAGTACCTTTTTATCTACTTGCATTTGTATGCTTTCGAACTGCAAGATTGGCAGGAACTGGGACAGAGCAACGGGAGCTCACCCCTGTCTGCGGATTCAAACTGTTGACTTTCGATCCACCAGCCCAGCAGCTCTGCAGTTTAAACCACTGTGCCACCCGCAGCCCACTATATTTCACTTAGAAATGTTTAATTATACAAAGGTAGACTAATATCAAAAACCCAAGTATTTTCAAAAGCACAAGTTTTCTGAAATGAATTTGTCAACAGTACATAGCTAGGACAATTTGTATATTCAAAGGAAGGAAATACAACACTGAACAATATGTGCACCTCAGTAGTCAACAAGGCCGACTTAATTTTGCACAGAGATGTATACTGAAAAGAATCAAGAGCACTACAAAACTGTAAGATGAAAATATACTGCGTATACTGAATTCAGCTAAAATTCATGCCAAATGATAGTTTGCTGAAGGAAAATAATACTATTAATAATGTAGCAACTGAGCACCAGTGTGATATAGTGGTTAGAATACTAGACTGGGAAATCTGGGTTCAAGTTCCCACTCAGCTTTAAAGCTCTTCGGGTGACTTTGGGCCAGTCACTCACTATCAACCTGACCTATTTCACAGGCTTGATCTTGTGAAGATAAAATGGAGCTATGTAAATTGCTTTGGTCTCAAGAAAAAAAAGACAGGATATAAATGTGGTGGTGGTGATGGTGGCGGCGGCGGCAGCAAAGTGCTTTACAAGCAAGTTAATGCTCACAACAACCCCTGGGAGGCCAATCATTATTGGTTTCAATTTCAGAGTCTGGGGAACTGAGGCTGAGAAGTAGTTACATGTACAAAGCTATACAAGACATAGCAAAGGGTGTGTGTGCCTTGAATCCTGGTCTTGTACATCAAAGCTCACTGTAGATGGACTATAATAGACTTATTTTATTTAATCAAACTTTAAACAATTTGATGATTTGTGAAACTTAAATATTACACACAGTTTGTGAATAGGTTATGGCACTGGCATATATGGACTCGTTTCTTTTATTGCCGCATGTCAGCCTGCAGAGTTACGGCAAACCTGCTGGTTACCGAGGCAAGAATGGTTCATTTACATTTCTTTGTGTTTTGACATTTAAATTATACTAATCTTACGTTTAATTGAATTAATCTATTTTGTGCAGAGGAGAGGTTCTGCATTAAACAACTCCCTTTCTTCTATAATGGAAAGTTCAGTACTGCCTGAGCCTGCGGCATGGCAAAATATCTCTGTAACTACAGCTCTAGATGGCTGTGCTCAGAGGGAGTACAGGGGAGGGAGTGCGGGGGATGCAAGCAGAGGTTTAACAAAGAATCACTTTAACAGAAACTCCTGAGTAATGGCTTTGCCCCAAGCCAAGAACAACATCATCTCAATGTCAGCAATTAGAAGAGGGATCAGCCAAGCAGCACGGCCCCCTTCAAACCCCTCATAAGCACAGCTTTGCTCATAGGGCTATCATAAGCTGAGTGCTGTGCACATGGAGCCCTTTGGGTAGGAATTTAAAGTCTGCCTACTATTTCTCTTTGGTCAGGTCAGAAGGAAGTGCAAATGAAAGGACAGTATAAAGTAGGCCCTGACTACCAAGTAGAGATTGTTGGACTACAAGGGATCCTTTTTAGAAGGTTCCTCTCCAGAAACTCAGAAACTATGCCATGAGTTGCTGTTGTCTCAGAACTTATTATTTCAGAACTTGGAATGGATTACAAGAAACAACATGAGACAACCAAAATAAAGGGCTTCAGACAGATCATGAAATAAGTTTGCTAATAAAAGTCAATTTGATAGAAAATACATAAGATTTTATCATTCATACTGGTGACCTATTTAGTAAACAAGCTTTAGGTTTACAAAGAACAAGTCAACTGATCGTACAATTAATTTTGTGGGACAGCTAAAATTATTTTCACAAAATAAAAGAAAATGAGTATTTTCATTACTCCCTACAAAATCAGAGAATGAATTTGTTATCAGCTGGTGCAGAATTCTGCGGGGCTTTACTTATGACATATTAAAAAGTATATCTGGTGTTTATTTTTTCACTCTCTTCTGATTATGAGTAAATAACTTAAGGCATGTAGGCAACATCTCCTGTAAGATTAGGATGTATGAGACATCAGGTGACATGGTTTTCTGCATAGGCCAGTTTGTGCTGTTGGCTTTCATGTGCTGTTTGCTTTCTCCAATGGACTAGCAACTGCCAAGCCTTCCGTCTTTCCTGTTCACTTTAGTTCCTGATAAAGTATTATTATTCATACATATTTGCAATGGTAAATACTATTCAGCTAAAAACACATTTACCCAAATCTGCATGAGTTAGGCATTCCTTTTTAGAGCATCTGGATCTATTTTGCATAGGTCTTCTGCCTGTGTGTTGATCCCAAAAATAATGCACCCACTAAGGCAGCCTCATCCATCTTAGTTACCTGGTGCCGGGCTCGGCTCTGGTCCAAAAGCTGTCGAGACTGAAGCTTCTGCTGTTGCAGCTGCTGTAGGGCAAAATGGAGTTGATAGCTGCCAGCACTTGGTGAGGCCTTAGGATGCAGTGGTTGGCTTCCTATTATCTTGCTATGTATGTTATTCTCCACATCCCCTTCCCAGGCAAAGCTGTCTGTATCCAGGGTCCTGCAATGACAAAAGTTTCACTTTAAAAGCTGAACACCACTGAAGCACATCTGCATTCAAAAAGAGAACATGTCCAAAGGTCTTTCTTGCTGTTGCCACAAGGCAGTACAGCAGCTATAACCTATGCTGTATACAACTGTCAGCTCTTGAAAAGTGTGTCCAATTTCAGCCAATAGTTTACTTTGGGATATAGATTCCCAAAATGAATAAGCAAAACTTGTGTGCTTGAAAATATATGGCAAAAATGGAAAAAACATGACCCACATCAAGTGGGATTCCTAAATATAGCTCTACAAGTCCATTTCAATGCAGCCCCAAATCTCATGAAAAGCTTCAACGTTTTACTTATTACAAATCCCTGCTCTTGTTAGAATAAGGCCTATCTTTTCTTCTCTACTTTATTCAATAGGCAAGGTCGGCTGTTGACCTTCTGGGAGACAGTTCTACCATGTTCCCCAGACCAAAGAAAGCAAGCAAGCACAGGAACCTCAGGATTAGTCATATCAACAATATCAAAAACCTATCAGATGGCAACAAAACACCGTAAGAAAACTAACTCAGTGAGCACATAGAAAAGATCAAATGATGGATTACATTCCAGGAGGCCCTTACTACCTTGCCTCATATACCTGTTATCTGGAAGGACAAGACAATTTCAACCAATCACTGCAGTGGTGGGTGAACTGCCCTATTCCTCAAGAACAAGAATCTATGGGAAAAAACATTCCTATTTTCTCAGAGGTAAGACAGGAGCATAGTCAATATTGCTTAGGATGCAAAACAGTACTAATGAACTGAAAATAAGGGCAGGCAACCGACAGATTTGCCAAGTCCTCTTATAGCGGAATCCCTTGCAGTACCCACTGGTCAAATGCTGTATCTGTTGATGCAAAATCAACAAGTGTGCAGATACACACACCACTGTCTTACAGATTTCATCAAGAGGAAAGCACCCTCTGAATACTGCAGATACTGTTTAGCGCCACTCATGCAATGAAACCCTGTGGTGGTACCTTGCTCAGGTTCCTATAGAACTATTATTAGTACTAACATGAATTATGCAGAAGCCCAGAACAGACAGGCCTATAGGTAGACTTTTCATGTAACATCCAACAAAACTGAAGCTGGGTTCATCTTGTTCCTTGTATTAGTGTAACAGAAGAGGAAGTTCTCAAATAAGCAAAGGTTTTTATTTAAAGGCAAAAGCACTCTTGCAGCTTTGCCTTGGAGCGACAGAGCTCAGCTGTGAAATGCAATGTGATACATGCCAGTGAAAGCTTGACTGTTTGCTTTGAAGTGTGAGTTCATGGACCTGGGTGCAGAATTGTACTCTCTTAGACCAAGCAAATGGGCTTTGTGGAGAACAGGTGGTAGATTGATACGGCCTGGAATACAAAGTCCCCCTGAAGCATATCACATGATTCAATGATTCCTGGTATGTGGCTAAATTTAAAAACAAGCAGTTTCCCCATGCTTAGTCGGAGTCCTATCTCCACATGCTGTCTCACTGGGATCCTCTTAATTCTTACTTACAGTCTTATGCCTTCATCTGAAGAAATTTCTTTAATTTCTGAAGACTGGCATGTATGCTTAATGCTACTACCTCTCAGTGCCACTGTGAATGGTTATACCCAACATGAACTTGGCAAACTAGACTCCAAACTGAATACGTAGGAAGGGTCTAGATTATTTTTCTTCCTCACTTAGAATAGATTTAGAACAGCATCCTCCAAAAATTGAAATTAAAAGATTAAGACAAGCAACCCTACTTGATTTTTTAGAGATGACAGTATTGTAGCAAGAGGAGGGATATTCACAGAACTGGAGATATATAACTAAGGTGGGGAAGATAAAGAACTGATAGTGAACCTTGCATTCTCTTCTGTAAAGCTAGAATTAACATGGAGAAGATGACAGAAAGTGACTCTGATAGCAAATAATAAGAACTTCAGTTCTTGCCCCCAAATTTAAGGAAACCTCTGCAAAGGTAATTAGATCATACATGTATTTAATAGCAATTACATGTCCTTCCTTTTTTGCTATAAAGTCACCAAGGTGGTACATAACAAATTCAAGCAAACTTATATAGTTGTATAGTAAAATTGTATTGTTTTAACAGCTAAATTAAACAGATATATCTTTGCACCTACTCTGAAAGCCAAGGGAACAGGGGCCCATTGTAATTCTTCAGGAAGTTTAAGCTCACAGTTTAAGCTTAGCAGAGAAGAAAGTCCTTTCCCATGTGTGAAAACAAATGAGTTTGTGTGTGCTTAGTATGAACTAAAAAGACTTATAACAAGACAGGTGGTCCCTTAGAGACCCTAATCCAGGCTTCTTTATTCCAGTGAAACTGGCTGAGGAAGTGTGAGAGTTATAGTTAGACTATTATTAGTTAGACCTAGACTATTATTGTTTTAGAGACCAACTACTTGAATTAATCCCAGAAAGCAAATCATGGTCTTTAAGACAGATATAATATGGCTTTTAGACTGTGTACTTGTTAGCAGCAGTACACAGTATTTTCTTTATTTTCCAGGTACCTGACTCTATCAAGGGGGAGGGAACACTTAGGAGAAATAGTGCCAACTGCCTTGGCCATTTCATGTGTCACACAAGCCCCTGAGAGGAACCAGCTAGAACACAGAAGTCAATACTGTAGTAAACAATTCTGTCTGGTATGGCATGTCTTTGAATAAATATAACTTCTTTTATGTACCTGGAAATCATATAACATTTAATTTCTAGAACACATCTCTCCTCAATCCCCGACAATGGGTTCTGGCTTCAGGTTGCTGGAGAAGTGTTAAGAAAGGCCACTGGCACATAGAATAGTCCTTGTCCCTCAAAATATGACATTAGGTTACAAATATTTTGCTTGGGTTGTAAGAAGAGAGCCAAGGCTTCCGGGTCTATTTCCTGGAATATCCAAGAATCAAACAGAGCCAGCTTGGCCAAAGATGTGAATCAGCTATGAGCATGCTGGAAACAGATATAAGCACATCTATCAGAACAAATCACTTTTCGCTTTCTTCAGCAGCCTAGAATAATGTACCAAAGAATCTTCTGGTAAAATACCAGTTAGAAAAGGGAGCTGTCCAGAAACTGCTCTCCTTGGTTCCAGTATCTACATGTTAAAGGAGATATGAAAAAACTGGGAGACAGAAAGGAGTTTTGTCATGAATTTCTAATTTTAGAAGAGGCAGAAGGACATTCTAAAGCCACTGAGATGTATGCATTTATTTTAAATACATCTAATTTATAAAATGCACCCTCAACTTAAATTCATATTCCTCTAACAAATGATATTTAATGAAAACCCAACCATACAACCAAGTTACGCAGCCTTTCTTTCCCATCATAAGAAGAGCCATGCTAGATCAGGCCCATGGTCCACCTACTCCAGCATTCTGTTTACACAACAGCAAACCAGCTGCACACAGGATCCCATAACCGGGATGCGAGAGCAATAGCACCTTGTGCCCAAGTTCCCCAGCAACTAGTATACACAGGAATACAACACCAGAAAAGAAGACAATCTGTTAATCGATTTTACTACTGAAGAGGGCTCCTTTCATCACCGGAAGAAACTGAAAAAGGAAAGAACCACATTACCAATAGTACAGCTATCCCAAAAGTATAATTTATGCTGACCCAGCAAGGCAAAAATCAGAACATGAGAAAAAAGTGACCAAATGATGAACAGTGAACCTAGGAAGGAGAGTTAAATGACTAACAATCTCCTGCACATATCCTTTCATCATAAAGGATGAGATATTACCATCATAACTTTGAAGCAATAGGAAGAATACCTCTTGCTACTTCTGAGAAATTTCCATTTTTAACCATTAATTTTTTGTTGACTTCTGTAAAATGTTTTCAGCCTTGAAGATGGCTCCTCTCCCTGAGACAGGCAAGGCTGACATGTTACATAGAAACACAGAAACAGAGCGAGTCAGAAGGGGCCTCCTGGGCCATCTAGTCTGACCCCCAGCTCCAGCCGGCTCTGCTCACAACATGCCCACCGATTGGCTCCTTCAGAGGAAGGTGCCACCTTGCCCTTCTATATTTCTCTGGAAAAGCTAGAAGCAATCCCATTAATCAGAGCTGAAACAAAAAAATGTATCAACGGGTTGCCACATGTACAGAATAACAATGTCAACTAATAAAGAAGAGGGGGAGAAAAGGATTAGAGGTCTGAACAGAGGAAACATTCCAGACTCCGTAATTCATCTACATCTCCATATATACCGGAAAAGCAGAAGCCTCAAAATCATTCATGCTAATTTCCTGGAACAAAACAGAGGAGGCTGGAATGCCCTCTGGGAATCCTAGAAAACAAAAATCAGTAACAAGCAGTTTCTACTTTCTCTTGTAGCTCCCAAAAGGTATTGCTCAACCTCAGGATGCATCAGAAGAGTACTATTCCATGGAAGATTTCCAGACAAATCACTGCTCCAAATTTTTCTGCAGAACCTCTTATCAAAGGAAGCATATTCAAAGAAAAATATATCTTACAGTGTTTGTAAAATATTACATGGAGATAAAATTGTTCTTCAGGGAGGGGGAACTATCACAGAAGGCCAAAACGGTCACTGCTCCCCTCAAGGAGAGGGCTGTCATTCCAGCTGGTAGTTGTTCCACTATTCTTTAGTTCTCCTGACTCTCTGCACAGACTTGGGTTATTCATCCATGGTAGTTTTGCCATTCTTCCTTTTTCTTATACATGGCCCTTTTAAATTTGAACCCTTAAAGCAACCTTCCTGGTTTCTTTATATGTCCTTTTTGTTCTCCCATTGGAATGGTTTGTGATTCTGCCTACAATATATTGTTTTTAAGAAACTCCTGCCCTGCTCTTTTTTCTATCAATATTTCTGTTTAAAGAATCTCACCTAGTGTACATATGTTGGCTCAGTCATCAATGGAGACTGTCACCAAGAAATTAGAATAAGACATAGACTTGGAATGGCAGCAATAAAAGAACTCAAAAAGACCATCAAATG